ACAGTTGTGAAATTATTCTGGTTTTGACAAAGATAAATGAGGGCGTAACTCACACACACAGCTGAAATAATGTATAATTTGCAAGTGCTTTTATATGCATTTTAACTGTAAAAAAATGTCTTAACAAGAAACAGAATAATATCCAAAACTTGGTAAGGGTTTTATATTTTCAAACTTGTTTTCTAATATGAGCTACCTACTACTTCTCATGACACCTCTGAGCTAATTAGGTATGTTGAGTAGGCAGCTTTCATAGGCTGCATAAAAACATAGTCTCATGCTATCATAATTAACATTTATTATTTGTATTGAAGTAGAGCTGGAGCTGTTAGGCATGAGTCAGGACTCCAGTGTGGTAGACACTGTACAAATATACAACAAAGAGGTTGTCTCTACCCCAATCCAAGCATGACTAGAGACAACCGGTGGATACAACTGATAAGGGTAGCACAGAGAGACAACACTAATCAGCAGTGGTAGGCTTAACCAACCCTGACACACACCCTGATCTTAAGGACAGCCATGGATCAAATTGATTTTTGATACACATGGGCTACATCTAGACTGGCATGATTTTCCGCAAATGCTTTTAACGGAAAAGTTTTTCCATTAAAAACATTTGCAGAAAAAAGCGTCTAGATTGGCACGGACGCTTTTCTGCAAAAGCACTTTTTGTGGAAAAGCGTCCGTGCCAATCTAGACGCGGTTTTGCACAAGAAAGCTCCGATCGCCCTCTGGGCTTTTTTGCACAAAACAGTTTTCAGCTGTCTACACTGGCCCTTCTGAGCAAAAGCATTTCCGGAAAAGGGCTTTTGCCCGAATGGGAGCAGCATAGCATTTCCTCAAGAACGCTGACAATCTTACATGAGATCGTCAGTGTTCTTGCAGAAATTCAAGCTGCCAGTGTAGATAGCTAGCAAGTTTTTGCGGAAAAACTTACCAGTCTAGACGCAGCCATGAAGTTGCACATGGCTGATATGGCCCTCAAGGGACTCTGGTGGCAGAGGGGTTAGTCAAAACATAAGGATGGCTAGTCACCATCTCTTTCTCACAGACATGACCTGGCACCAGCTTATATGAGTGGGAGTTTACCAGGAGCCAGAACTACCAGTTTTATCAGTTTTGTACGGTCAAATCAGCACCAGGCTGGCAGAGTAAGGACTGGAATCTAGCCTGCAGCCCACACATTGGAGTAGAAACTCTCTGCTTATCTATCTAGTGAGAAATGAAGGAGCAGGCAGGGAAGCTGTATAGGTCACGTGATTAGATGATTCATTTCTATATGGAAGAAAGAAGACAGAGAAGTGCTACCTCTTTCTGGATGGTTTTGTGTTTTGTATCACCTCTGTTATGTTCCAAAACATTAGATGGGAGTCTTTTGCTGTGGAGTTTCTATTAGACTGAGCTCTAAATAAATACATTAACTCACTCTTTAGCCTTATGCTATGGAACATTTTTGTCAATGTCCTGGGGAGAACATAAAATTTGCAGGTGACATAAAAATTGAGGAATATTGACTAATGAAGAGGACAGATAATGAGTAGAATGATCTGGCTCACCTAGTAAGCTGGGCACAAGCAAATGAGGTGTATTTGATATGACTAGATGTAAATGTATATATCTTGGAACAAAGACTCTTGGAATAGGTGCCAACTCTCTGGGAGCTCTGGAGCTGGAGCACTCCTGGGGGAAAATGGTGGGTCTGAGCATGCACTGGAAGCCCCCCCATCAGCACTTCCCCTCTCTCAGTGCCATTGGACCTCACTGAGCAGCATCTCTCCCTGCCTTCCTGAACCTTCCACCCACCGCAGTCGACTGTTTCACGGCATGCACAGGGCTCTGAGGGGAGGGGGAAGGAGTGAGGATGCTGTGCACTCAGGGAAGGGGGTGGAATGGGGCAGAAATAGGAACAGCAGGGGGTGGAGCGTGGGCAGGAAGAAGTGAGATGAGGGTAGGAAGGGAGAAGGGCCTTGGGGGAAAGGGTAGAGTCGGAGCTTGGCCTGGGGCTGGGGGTGGGGGAAGGTTGAGCATCCACCTTTGGCACATTGGAAAGTCAGCTCCAGTGAATGTAGGCCATACTTGCAGAGCGGGGGCGTGAATCCTTGGAAGCAGGGATACCGAAAAAGACACACGTGTTAAGGTGGTTGATCAGCTGAATTCTCAATGCAGTGCAATAGCCAAAGGTTCTAATGCAGCCCTAGCATGCATAAAGAAGGGACTCTCTGCTGGGAATAGAGAAGTCCTTTTATTTCCGCCTTTGACTTGGTGAGAATGCTGCTGTAATACTGCGTCTAGTTCTGTGTCCTCAGTTCAAGAAGGATGTTGATGAATTTGAGAGGGCTCAGAGAAGCAGACTGCTGAGGAAGGCCCTAACCCTCGGGGGCCAGATCCAGGCAACCCAGGGGCTGCCTCTGGTCCCTGGGATTTACATTCCCACCCCTGATTAAAGGGGTAGATAGAGCACAGTTCGTAAGAACCTACATGGGAAACTAATATTTATAATAGTCTCTCCAGCCCAGCAGACAACAGTATAATGAGATCAAACGGCTGGAAGCTAAAGCTAGACAAATTCAGGCTGGAAATAAGGCATAAGGTGGATGATTAACCATTGGACTAATTTACCAATCCTCCATCACTGGCAGTTTTTAAATTGAGATTGCATGTTATTCTAACAGGTCAGCTCTAGGAATTATTGCGGGATGTTCTATGGTCTGCGTTAGTCATAGGCAGGGCTTGACAAATACACTCGCCTGCTCACCCGTGGTAAGTAGATTTTGCCAGCTGGCTAGTGCAGGGGCAGACTGGCCTGGTGGGCCATTGTAATGGGTTGGCCAAAGCCCGCACTACGGATGGCGCGGCCCCATCCAATCCGCCAGCCGGCAGAGGAGCAGAGCGCTTCGTGCAGCTGAGGTGTGAGGAGGCAGAGCGCCGGCAGATGCCAGGACGCTGGCGTGACGTGTCCCCATCAATTTTAAAGGGCTGCGGCAGCTCAGCTCTGTCTGCGTGTCCCCGGAGCTGGCTGCCGCGTGCGGCGGAGCCAGGCCCTGCCCCACCGGCTCTAGTCCTGCCACGGCCCCAGTCCCTCGCTGGCGAGAGACTGCTCCCTGCCGACTGCCCAGTTCGCTGTGCCCGCCCCACGCCCCATCTGGCTCCTGCTGCCCATTCCCCATGCCACCCCTGCACCCTGCACCCTGGAACCCCTGCTCTCCCTCTGGCTCTGCACTGCCCTTGCACCCCGCACTCTGCTCCCCCGATCCCTGCTCCCCCCCCCAGCTCTGTGCTGCCCGTTCCCTGCACTGCCCCTAGACCCCGATCCCTCTGCGCCTCCCATTCCCCATATCCCATTTCCCATGCCTCCACTGCACCCCTCACACTGCTTCCCCCGATCCCTGCGTCCATCTGTCTCTGTGCCTCCCGTTCCCCGTGCCACCCCTGTTCCCCCCTGCCACTGTTCCCTGCACCCCTCTGGCTCTGTGCTGTCCCTGCACTCTGTTTCCCCAGTGAGTTGGGAGTGAGGGGTGCTTGTCCATAGGGAGGGGCGGAACAGGGCAGGGAAAAAGCTGCTGTGACCCAGCAGTGAGTGAAAGGGGGAGTTCACTTGAAGCACCTTTGCCTTTATGGGAAAAAAAATGAATGAAAATGCTATTTGCTATTTATAGGGCTAAAATGCTGGGACAAAAATGAAAACTAACAAAAAAAAAAACATTGCAAAATGTAAACGTGTAAAAGACAACAAAAATCTGGGGGGGGGGATGTTTTGCTTGGCCCTGGGGGAGGGGAAGTGGCTGGTTGGGCTGTGAGGAGGGAAAGGGAAAAATCTGGGGAAAGGGCTTGTGCTGAGGGGAGAGGAGGAGGTCAGGAGAAGAAGAAGAAAAAGAAAGGGGAAGGCACCAATGGACAGGGGTGCAGGAGAGACAAATCCCAGGGGGCCAAGTGGAGACAATGAGGAAAAGGGCAGGAGGGGAGGTGTCAGTGGGAGGGGGGACAGGGTGATGCTAGAAGAGGAAAGGGTAAGGGCACTGGGGCTAAAGGGGAGAGGAGGTGCTGGGAGAAAGCTTGAAAGAAGGGGTGGGCATGAGGAAGGTGGGGATGGAGCAAGGCATGTGTGAGGGCACAGGAGCATAATGGGAACGGGGGCAGAGGGTGTTGAAGGGGTGGGTATCAGGGAAAAAGAGGGCAAAGGGGGCAGGGGCAGTGAGGGAAGGAGGAGGAATCAGGAGGGTACAGGTGCCAGGAGATTCTGGGGGTGAAGCAGAAGGGCAGACACCTGCAGGGGAGGGACCAGCATCAGAGGAGAGAGTCAGGGCAGGTTTGTAGAGGGAAGTTTTAGGAGAGGGGATGAGGAGGGGTAGCTCACCTGATCAGATTGGGGCTACTGGAGGAGTGGGCACAGGGGGGAGAGAAGGGCTGGTGGAGGGGGGCAGGTCTCAGGAAGGCTGAGGGCAGCAAGAAGGGCAGGATTCAGGACAGCAGAGGAGGGTGAGGGGTTGGGGGGCAGCAGGCACTCGGGGAGCTGATGGAGTAAGGGGAGGAGACATGGCAGCAGAGGGAAAAGATAGAAGTTTATAAGATATTTATTAATAACTTGGGTGATACTTATTAAGAACGTATTAGTAATTACTGTTTTTATTCTTATTAGAAATTTATGCCACTAAAAAAAAACACTTTTGGGGGGGGTATGGTGAGTCCCTTTTTTGTCTGGCGAGTAGGGTTTTCCATAATTAGTCGAGCCCTGGGTCAGGTTAGGTGATCACAGTGCTCCCTTCTGGCCTTGGAATCTATGAAAGTTTATTAATCTACACTGGGATTTCTCCATGACCTATCCATGTGGCTTTTCCAAAACACCTCATACAGTTCTGGACGAGCTCTTCTTCCAGTTTCCCAGGATCCAAAAAACTCAGTTTGACTTCAGCTTATCATTCGGGTTGCTTTATTATGCATGTAACAGCTCTTTGCCCATGCAGGTCAGGC